TATTCTTGAGATATATATATATTCTTGGGAAATATATATATATATCTTCCTTCAGTCATTAGGTTATATCTCACCAAAAGTTGACCATGTTGGCACTCTGATCTGAGACTTCCAGCCTCCAGAAATGTAAGAATATATGTTTTTAACCTCATTTATTTAAAATTAAATGAATTTGTAAGCCATTTGGTCTGTGGTATTTTGTTATAGTGGCCTGAGCTGACTAGGGCAGATTTTGGTACTGAGAAGTGAGGTACTACAACTAAAAACAAGTGAAGCAGCTTTGAAACTGGCAAATGTACAGAGGCTGGAAAAGTTCTGAAGTGCAAGCTGGAAATAAGGTTGGGAAGGGTGATTCTCGTGGGGAATGAGGAAATGCTATTGGAAAATGAAGGAAAGACAACCCTTGATACGAAGTGGTGAAGAACTTGGCAGAACTGTATTCTAGAATTTTGCGGAAGGTGGAGCTTGAGAGATATAAAATTGGGTATTTATCACTAAGATCTGTAATTAAAGTGTTAAAAGGCACAGGAAGCTTCACTCTTCCTGATTGCTTACAGTAAAATGCAAAAGAGGAGATCCGACTTGCAGAAGAAATTTTTAAGGAAAAAGGAACCAGAACTTGGAGATTTAGAAAGTTCTCACCTATCCATATTGCAAAAATTAGGAAACTTGTACTGAAGACAATTCTGAAAGTATGGCTGAACAATCATTTTATATAGAGGCCATGAGCGGGATTCAGGGAATATATCAGCCATCCTTACAGAAGTGAGGAGAGAGACTGGATTATACCAGAGGAGACACTGCCACTTAGATTGTGCCATGTAAAATGGACAGAGAAGGCAGAACAGAACAGAACAGAACAGGCAAGACTGTCACACTTCGTAGATTTTGCAAGAAGGGAACCCAGAAATAATCAGTGTGAAAGTGCACTGGCAGTCATTCCTGCCATGCTCTGCAGGATCCATGGGAACAGAAGAGACCCTTGGAGAAGCATCTTTTAACAACCCACTTCTAGGGCCTACATCATCTTGGCTTCCGGTAAATTTTGACATGAAAGTGCCACACTGGCCCATTAGACAACAGGGGCTGGGAGGAATCTGCATGATTTTTCTCATACAGAACTTGTTAATGCTATGATCCTAGGAATTTAATCACCAAGGTGAGGCAGCCTGCAGTACTGACCTCACCAACCATGACCCTTTTTCACAGATGCCCAGACTCAGGCAACCATGAAGAAGCTGTATTCAGAACACGTAGGTTTAATTCCAGACCCTTGGGATGGCATCTAAGGCCAATCCATGAGCTATTACAACCTCCTCAAGGCATTTAGGACAAATCTGATGACCTCTTGTGTCATTGCCAATAATTAAAGATGGCAACCGATGGGCTAAATGGTAACACTCATACCCAGTATTCATAAGGTTTCTCCCCAGTGTGAATTCTTTCATGTGTACTTAGGTGTGAGGAAACAGCAAATGCTTTCCCACATTCTTTACATAGTAATGAAGACTTTCTCTTCAGTATGAATTCGCAGGTGAACATTAAGCCCTGAGGAAAACATAAATGCTTTCTCACATATTTTGCATACAAAGGGCTTTTCTCCACTATGCAGTCTCAAATATTTCCTACAATAGGAAGAAGTAATGAAGGTTTTTCCACATTTAACACATTTATAAGGCTTCTCTCCTGTGTGAATTCTTCTATGTTCAGTAAGTGTTGAGGATCTATTGAAGGCTTTCCCACATTCCTTACACTGATAGGGTTTCTCTCCACAGTGATTTCGTATGTGTATAGCAAGGCCCGTGTACTGCGTGAAGGCTTGCCTACATTCCTTACATTCATAGAGTTTTATTCCAGTGTGAGTTCTTACATGTTGAGTAAGGTGAATTGATCTAGTGAAGGCTTTCCCACATTCCATACATCTGTGTGGTTTTATTTCAATGTGAATTTGAATGTGATCATTAAGAAGTGAGGAATTTCTAAAGGATTTTCCACATTCTTTACATTCAAAGGACTTCTCTCCTTTATGAGTTTTCACATGTGCAGAAAGTTGAGAAAAATTAGTGAAGGATTTCCCACATTTCTTAGTCTTTTTGGATTTCTTTCCAGTATGAACTGTTACACACTGCTTTAGGTGTGAGGAAGCTGTGATGGCTCCCCCACATTCCTGAAATTCGCAGAGTTTCTCTCCAGGGTGGATTCCCATTTGATTATCAAGTCTTGCAAAATACTTAAAGCCTTTTCCAGATTCCTTACATTTGTAGGGTTTTCTCGCATTGAGAATTTGAAGATGCACAGCAAGGCCTGGGGTTTGGGTGAAGACTTTTCCACATGGATTAAATCTGGAAAGTTCCTGTCCAGTAGAGGCTTTCTTGTACACAGTGAGGACATCTTTTCTATAACAATTATACTCAGAAGTGTTCCCTCCATTCTGAGCTCTCATGTGTGTCTTAAGGAAAAACCATTCACTAAAGACCTCTCCACAATTCTTGCAGTCACAGAGTTCCCCTAACCTGTAGCTTCTTTACATTTGTAGCCCATTGAATATTTCATTCTTCAGAAAACTCTGCTGAAGTGATGACCCTTTGGTTGTGGGTTGTATTTCCCATTGTTGAAGAACTCCACTCTGTAGTGTATTGCATTCTTCTTGTTTTAACCAAGAGGTCAGGCTAGGTATAAACAGCTGACAGCCCACAGAGACCAGGTTCTTGTAGCTCTCCAGCATTGAATCTCTGTACAGGTATTTCTGAGTTGTGTCCAGTAAAGCCCACTCCTCTGGGGTGAACTCCACAGCCACATCATCAAAGGTCACTGAAGCCTCTTAACCATTTGCCAGGTAGCCCACCACCACCCTTTCTACCTTTGTCTTTTCTTCAAAACTGCAGATTGGTTCCCTGGGGGGAAAAAAAAAAAAAAACATGGGACAAATCAATGGCTGCCATCCTCTGAAGCTGATGGTAAGATGTGCCTCAATGCTCTCTCTTCCTTGATGCCAAGATTACCTCAAGGCAGCTTATGAATCTAGGTGGATAGAAGCAATTTCCATTCCTCTTTGTACAGGGCTATTTGTGGTCCACAGCAGAGGTGGACTCCACCACGGTAAAGGTAAAATGGCCAATATCTTCTGTTTTTAAGACACTTAAAGTATCTTTTTTTTTTTTTTTTTGAGATGATGTTTCACTCTGTTGCCCAGACTGGAGTGCAGTGGTGCGAATTTGGCTCACTGCAACCTTCGCCTCACAGGTTCAAGTGATTCTTGTGCACAGCCTCCCAAGTAGCTGGGCTTCCACCACACCTGGCCAATTTTTGGAATTTTTTAGTAAACACAGGGTTTCACCGTGTTGACCAGGCTGGTCTCGAACTCCTGAACTCAAGTTATTCACTCGCCTCAGCCTCCCAAAGTGCTGGGATTACAGGTGTGAGCCACTACATCCGGCCCACTTAAAGTATCTTTAATAAACTAAATTACTTCTCATAGTACTTATTCATAGTACCGGTTCAGAGAAGCTAAGTGATTTGCTCAAGATCATACATGCAGTAAGTAGCAAGACAAGACTTCAGGTTTGTCTACTTTTAAGACAATTGTTCTTTCTGCTATATCTAGGCTGGCTCTTCAATCAAATATCAGCAAAGATAAAGCAAAATGATCTGGGTGATTGTTTTCAGGAATTTCTGTGGTAGATTAAGTAAATTAGATCCTTTCAGGATGCTTTGCTTTTAGTATTATTTCTAAGAGACAATCAAATCTCACTATTCTTTATGCTCCCAGATTTCAATATTTGCTTCAGCTTCAATTCTACTCAACATGCTTCACGGAGAGCCTTTTATTCTCTTCTATAAATCGTACCATTTATAGCACAAGAGGTTAATAATACAATGATGATTAAGACACAGTATATTTGGGAGGTCCTCATAGTCCACTAATATGTCCATATTCAGACTATGTGATCTGGGAAATACAAAAGATTCTACACATCCCTTTGCTTGATTTGTTCCTTAGTCCATTCCTTTGTTGACTGACTTATTCCATATTTACTAAGCAGAGATGAGTAAGACATATACATACTGCATGCTCTCTAGAGTTCCTGGTCCAATGAGAAAGACAAATATGAAAATGGGTAATTTATAATAAAACTTATTGAATGCAGTTACAGAGATATAAATAAAATGCTCTAAGAGGCAAAAGAACTGAGCAAGTAACTCCATGTGGGGAAAGCAATGCAGGCTCTCCTTAAGAGAGGGGGTCTTAAAATATGACACTTCATTAAAATATTAAGCCATCAGCTCATTTAAGGCACATTTTGTATACTCCTTAGTCTCCTCCAAACAGGAAGTTGTCACTATTTGTGTGTTGGGAGATCAAAGTACAGGCAGATTTTGCAAAGTGCTTGACTACGCACTGAAGGTGTCACAAACTTCAGTGATTGCTCCTAGTTATAGCAATTTTTGCTATCAGTCTTCTACTGGCCCCCAAAAAGATATGTCCATGTCTGAACCCTCATAACCTGTGAATGCGACATTATTTGAAACAAAAAAAGGGTCGCTGCAGATGTAAAGACCTTGTGATGAGACCATCCTGGATTATAAGGGTGGATCCTACATCCAATGAAAAGTACCCTTATAAGAGACAGAAAAGAAGACACAGACACAGAATAGAGGCCATGAGAAGACAGAAGCAGAGATAGCAGTGGCTTGCTCACAAGAAATGCTGACAGCCACCAGAAGCTGGAAAAGGCAAGAGAAAGTTTTTCCCCCTAGAACTTCCAGAGGGAGTGTGGCCTTGCTGACACCTTGATTTCAAACTCTGGCTTCCAGAGCTGTGAAAGAATAAATTTCTGTTGTTTTAAGCCACCCAGTATGTGGTAATTTGTTCCAGCAGCCACAGGAAACTAATACAAGATGTAGTATGTTTCTCTAGTAGCAACAATGTCAAGAAGCCCTTACTAAGAGTTTAAGTAATTTAACTCTGTGTACCACAAAAAGAGAATTAGATGAACTAAGTGCCACTCCTCAGGAAGATTCCACAGAAAGTCATGGAAATGCTAAGGTGGATGGCAGTACAGCAAGTCTTTGTAGTGAGACAAATTTGCATTTGTCTATCACTTATCAAGAATACAAACTGGAAAATTTGAGAAGCCTAAGCTTCAGTATTCCGATCAGCAAAATGAGAACTGCTGTAAGTATTAAACAAAATAAAGCACTTAGAGCTCTTAGCATTATGGCTGGTTCACAGTAAGCACTACGTAAATATCAGATATTGTTATTATCATTGTGGATACAAACAAGTACATGCACACAGCTGAACACACTGATCAGATAAACGAAGAAGGAAGTTCAACTACAGTCAATTATGAATTCTTTGCATGGGTCCTATTTCAAGCCCAATTTCACATCTTCAGTTATCTTCTCTTCTTCCTCACTCCTAAGGCACCTACCCCTGCTATCATGAAAAACAGTCAACAATTTTGAGATTCTATTACTTGCAGTGTCCTATTTTTCCCATTAAAGATTGGAAAAAGTACTAAGACTTTTTTAAAGTATATCAAAGTTATTTAGCCCAGACCTTTATACGTTTCCCTCCTTTTAACCTGGAAATATGTGTTTCTTCTTTCCCAACCACTTATCTCTGAGGACAATGTGTCCTTCCATCTTTCTCACTAAGCACCAATTCCAGCACTGGTGCTCACATCTGATCACCCCTCCTTATTATATTATCAACCTCACCACTCATATATTCAACCATTCCCTCTCCAATAATTTCTTCTTCTCTACACTTACAAATACCTTCCTTCAGCTTTGCTACCCCACATGCTCTCAGTTCATCTCCTCCTTGATGTTTTGGCTTCCCCTCAGCTCAACCTGTCCCAAATTAAACTTACCATACATTCTACCACCTAACCCAAATCAGGGTTAAAACCCAACCCAAATTAAACTGAACTCCTTTAGTTTAAAGAAGTTGGGATGGACAAGTGTTAAAATTAGTTTAGCACTTGTCCCTAAAACTTTCACATAGCTGGTTCCTTCTGATCATTGGGTTCTCACCTAGACTCCCCTTTGTGCAGAGATGCCTCCTCCCATGGCCATATCAAAAGCATCTTCCTCCTAAGTCACTCTCTGGCTAAGGTCCACTTTCATTGTCTTCACAGAACTTCTTACTACCCAAAATTAATCTTAGGTGTTTTCTGGCTTATTGTCTAATCCACTCTTTTTGAGCTATTCAAAGGAGAGATCTTGTCTGTCTAGTACAAAATACTGTTCCGTAAACATCTTTCAATGAATGACTTTCCTGGACTTCTGTTTTCTTCCACACAACCACAGATCTTGCTTAGCTCCACAGCCTGAACAAGATAAATATTTGGAGGGAAAACATAGCTTGGACCACAGCTTCCCAGCTGGCCTCCCTGCTATCTCTTCCTCAGCAAGTTCATCTTACATCCTAATTGCTATTCTAAATCATAGCTCTCGTCAATTCTTAAAAATTCTTTGATGACTAATCACTGGCTACAAAATAAGGTGCAAACTCCTTATCTAAGCATTCAGTACCCTCCTCTGGTTCCACCCTACCTTTTTAAAAATTAAATGCTTCTTTAAAAAAATTAGTTTTTTGAAATATAGACCCCAAAGACTATGAAGAATGTACAGAAAGTCCCATGCACCATTCTCTCAGTCTCCCACAATTTTAACATTTTATACAACTTGTATAATATCAAAACAGGCCTACTTGTGCTCTTTCCTTTTCCTCTCTGGTTTCTAATCCTCTTATCATATACATATTTACTATTAAAAGCTACCTCAAGTCGTTTTTTAAAAGTGGATGAAGAAATAAATTAATATAGAGATGAATGAATGGAGGGAAAAAACAAATGACATGATAGAGTATTTCATCAATCCTGTCCCAATCAAATATAATCCCTCTTTCCTATATACCTACACTTAATTGCTGAACTTCTCTTATAAAACCTATGTTCTGCCACAGACTCACAGATGCATACTTTCTTTATGTGTCCATTAAAACAGTAAACTCCCTAGAGACAAATATAATTTCTTATTAATTTTATATCCACTCAAGCACCAAGTACACAGTGCTTCTATTAGAGCAGGATCTCAAGTAATATAGAATCTTCATTGTGAATGAATGAATGAATTAAATATCTCTGCCCCAAGAGTAATTAAATATCTCTGCCCCAACAGTTAGGGGATGCTTCCTAATGGAGGTTATGTTTGAGGAAAACCTTGAACACATCAATGGAATTCAAAAAGGCAGAAGAGGGAATCCTTTTTTTGGTAGCCATTATTTAAAGAACAACATATATATTGATCTCATCCTTTGTACCTGATGGATAATATTCCATAGTACAGATGCACCACAATTTAACCATTCTTCTATTGGTGGATATTTAGGTTTGTTACAGTTAGGATAAAGTTTGGGTTCATGTTACCAAAGACCCAAATAAGAATGTCATAAACACAAGATACTTTATTTCTCTCTTGCGTGAAAGAAGGAGACAATTCAGGGTTGATAAGTGGACTTCATGGTCTTCAGGCACCAAGCTCTATTTTTCAGCTCCAGCGTCCTAGCATGTGGCTTCTATCTCCAAGGTTGCTCCATGACCTCATCCAACACATCTAGTTACAGGCAAACTGGAAAAAAAGAGAATGAAATGACCCAGCTAAGCCAGGTCCCTTTATGTAGCCTTCCAGAAGTTTCATACAATACTTCCATTTCCATTTCAGTGGCCAGAACTTAATTATATACCCATGCTCAGCTGCAGGGGAAGCTGAAAAAAGGTGGTCTTTTACATAAGGGCATTGTTGTCCCAAATAAAATTAAGATTTTATTTTACATTAATCTTAATTTTATAATCTTTGTAACTAAACAAAGAATAATGGATACTGGATAATAAATACTGGATAACAACCAGGAATGAAAAGGCAAAACTGACATCTTGCCCTGCCATTAAGAGCAAGTAGGTACATCATCTCCTACAGTAAGGGAAAAAAAAGCATTCCATGTAGTTCTAGTACTTAAAATAGAAGAAATCTTGACACTGACTCCCTAACAAATCAAACTTTATCCCTGAATTTTGCAGTATTCTGATGATAATCATGTCTGATTTTCCACCATGAACAGACTAACCGTAAACTGGTTACACT